ATATTCTAGGATGTTAATATTAATATCTTATTTCTTAGAAAAAGTACAAGACAAAGTTATATTCCTATTCTGTTGAGGATTACTTTATAGACTACAACAAAGAAAGTTATTAAATATATAATATTAAAACTAAATAAATTATAATCTTATAAGATATAATATTTAATAAGAAGCAAGCTATGTCTTCTATTATAGTTATTAAAGATTAGGTTAATGGTAGCTTTTTTATATAAAAGATGATTGACTAAGAAGCACTTTGTTTCATACTTGCCGAATTCTTTCGTCTGTATATGAATCCTGTATTTACTATAGATAATATTAATAATACACCTTCCGTCAACGATATGCTTTTCAATGATGATATACTAGCTGCTACTTTTCTTATTCTTTTGATTCCTTTGTTAAGAACCCTACATTCTAATAATCAAGAAGTTTAATAATATATTATATAGACTGGCGATACTAGAGTGGAGGTATAAACTGAGGGGGCTATAAAGGATAAAGTAATTAGAAGGTCTATAGAGAATGAGATTTAGAACTTAGACCTAATGGATTAAGATCCTATGCTGCATATTTTATTATCTCTATTGAATATTATTTATGAGGAGTAAATTCATAAAGATTCTATATCTAATAATACTTTAGAACCATTATTATTACCACTATGCTAATCTACTTATATTCGAAAGCCTAGTTATATAATACTAGAATATTTTATCTATTATTCTACAATTATTAATCCTAGTACTATAGATATGTTTATTAAGCAATTAATCCTTGAATTTATATTTGCTACATTTGAAAAAAGCTCTCTTCTAGAGGTTAAATTGTTCTCTACATTTACTTCATAGGATAAAGGCTATATTCCTATTAGTTGGATAAATACAATAAATTACATTAAACAAGAAAAGTAGTTTACTACTATATATAAAGAACTATGTGTTTATAATTGTAATAGAATCTAAAGAATTATTAATCATTCTTCTATAAAGAGAATACTTTTGATACTCTATTAAGTATTTACTATTAAGTATAATAGAATATATAAAGCAAAGCTTATCATCTAAGGTTTCTGATAGTATAAAGATACTAACTTCAACAAGTTGTATATCATTATTACTAAACTAATAAGCTTTAAAATCTTTATTACAATTATAATAGCTCTCTATTAACATATGTATTATGTGGATATTCAAATTATCTTCTTAAACATAAACCTTAAAGAGTCAATCTATATTAAACTACTTAAAGTTCTGCAGAATGAATTTAGTTTGGATAAAATAAATCTACTTCTCAAAATATTATATAGTCTCAAATAATTATCTTGCAAATAGTATTAACTACTATATAATATACTATTCGCTATAGGATTTATATATATTTATATAGATCATTTGGTATTCGTACAATAGAATAATACTAAACTAGTGTATGTACTAGTCTATATCAACAATTTGCTTATTATATCGCTTTCTAATAAAGCGATGATTAAATTTAAATATAAACTTATGGAATACTTCGAGCTTATCAACAAAGGATCTATCAAATGTTATCTAGGGATTGATATATTATATAAAGGCGATAAAATCTATTTCTTCTAAGCTGAATATATAAAAAAGGTTCTTTTCTAATTTAGAATATTAAAAATAAACACTATAAGTACTTCTATAAACAAAAATAAAGTCTTAGAAGAGTATATAGATTAAGCAATTAAAAATAAGATCCAGTAGTATTAAAAGATCATTAGCTATCTTATTTAACTAATAATATCCATATGATCGGATATTATATTCTTTATTACAAAGCTTTTTCACTTTGCTCGTAATCCTTCTTCGAAGTATTTATACGCTGTAAAGCGAGTTCTACGTTATCTAATAGGATTATGTGATCTTTGTCTTATATTCTCCGACAACAGGGAATACCTGATCGGCTTCTGTGACGTTGATTGGATTAACAAGCATACCGAAAAGAATCTGAGTACTTCTAGGTTTATTTTTAAACTTGTTAGTAATATAATTAGCTAAACTTCTAAACGCTAGCATTGTATAACATAATCTTCTATAAAGTCTGAATATATTACTTAGATACTTGCAATTTAAAAAAGTTGATAGCTACTGCTGCTACTTACTAAGCTGTATATAGAAGATCTATTCGCTAAACTAGTTATTTTGTATAGTAATAACTAGGGAACGATTGCATTCGTAAAGAATCCTGAGTATCATATATGTACTAAGTACATCGAGGTTCGATATCACTTCCAGCGCAAAGAGATTGACACCGGGAACGTGCTTTTTGACTACGTTTCTTCTAAAGAGCAAACTGCCGACGGCCTTACTAAGCCATTTGCTAAGGTTAGCTTCGCGCGGTTTGTTAGTTAATTAGATATAGAACCTTGCAAAGGGGTTTAATGAATATGGGCAGAGGCTAAATTCACTCAAAAACACAATGTTTACGAATCAGCAGTTGTTTCTTAGTATGGAGGATCTAGGCTATCGACCAACGTGGTTATAGGGGGTGTTTGCAATATTTGCCTCAGGTGCCCACTGTAGATAACCAGTCTAGCTAGCTTAGATCTTCTCTCTCCTCTCAACCCAATTCAACCATCGTTCCAAAGTAGTATCCTGGTCTAGTAACCCTTCCCTGTTGAAGAAACTTTGATAACCAATTCCTTAGAAGAAGAGTATTATAGCAGTCACTACTTCATGGGGTACATTGAAATGGATAGAGCACACAAGGGTCTATAATTTTGGTAAAAAATGTAAGGGCCGGTTATCCAGTAAGAAGTGACAGAATGATATTGTGGCCTCACTAGTCCCAATTCGGCCACAATTCACATTCTGACCAATCATATGCCCCAAAACACTAAGAGGAAGAGAGAGAGAGAGAAAGAAATAAGGAAAGAAACAGAAGGTGCACTAAGCGCTACGCTCTGCAAATTTTATCTAGGGACCTGCTATCTGGGGACCAAAGACCCCATAATTCCGTAGTAACTATTAGATCGCAGCCGTGAGTAGGGCTTATCCCAAGGTCAACAACGTTCGTTCTTTCTCCCGTTCGTGGTTTCCTAAGGAATTCTCAGACCATTCCACTTGCACCCCACCTGGCAAACAACATCACTTACAATCTACAAGCCAGATATCAAAAAATGGCTACCAACATCTATATGTGCAAGTTGCACTCGACCTTGCTTTCCGAATTGTGAACAAGATCACCATTTCAGCTGCTGAAATGGAAGTCTGGGACGGGTACTATGGACAGTATTGGAAATACCACTCAAGACATTTCCTTGCGCATGTCCTATCTCAAACAGGGCACGGAAATCTCCTCGACCCTTGACTGAAAGCGTTCTGGGAGAGAGAGAGAGAGAAAGCAGCTGGCGACCCATCTGCACTGGGGCTGGGGGAAACTGCCAAACGAAGTCAATTACGATTTTCGTTGACTTGAGGTTCTTATCAGCGCAATGCACGCTTTTCAGGGCACCAACGATTTGTTTGCCTCGCCCACAAAACAACATTTCAATGATCGAAATCGAGATTGCGGGAACTGATCCCGGGGGAACGAAATGAACGTGAGGCACAGTGAGGGAGACAGTGGAGATCTTTCCACTACGGATATCGAAATGGATTGTTCCATCAAGTACCGGCCGATGGAGCTTGATCCAATGGCAATGGACTCGAATGAAACCGTTTCAGAGCATACTGATCCCTCTGATGAGGGGCGGGAAGAAGATCGCGATCTTGAGATCGAATGCGACGAGTCAAAATGCGAGTGTGCGGGACTATCATTGCTGACTTCATCACCCGAGAAACTGGCGGCCCTCATAGGAGCAACTTCGCCATGGCTTTGTACGAACATGATCATCAAGACGGGATTACAAATTTGAAACATTTTTGACAGAGAGGGCTAACGAAACCTCAACACGTGGGTCTGAGTTTTGGAATTGGGTGATACCAAAGCCCATCTTTGATCATGTGCACTCAGAGACAATGGGGCACATGTCGTCAACCCGCCGACTTGGAATCCCGGAGGCGAAATTCCAGACGCGACACGGCTTACACTTTCACTGGTCACGTAAAATCCCACCATCTGCTGTCACAACCACTCACCCAATCAACCTCGCCTGTGCCCCCCATTCTCAACAACGGTACTCAGTTCCAAAGCTCGCTGAATCATTTATAACTATAATAAGGTCTCCCTTAAGATAGAAGGATGCTGACAGCCTCTATTTTCTGGGTTGTATCAGAATCCATGGGGCACAGGTATGTTCACGTACACCTGGTGTAATGGCTCTATTAACCGTTCCCTCGCAGCCCAACTTCGAGTTGATTGAAGAAATGCTTTGAAAATCAAAGGCTGCATCCCGCATGCAGTTTGCCCATGTTCGGCAACGGATCCATCCTCACTCCACTGCGTACCGTGCTGGCCGTCAACGACGGTACGAAGGAGGCTCGGGATCCTTCCACAGAGGAAGGGGATGTGAGGGAGAGCAGTTTTGAGAAGTGGGAGTAGTGTTCTATGCGAGGAAGATTGAATGGAGACTTCATATTTGAATAACAACCATTGGTATCTCACAGCTTTACTACCAGAGGTAGACTTGATTTGACATCAAACGCACTGAGGCTCTGCTCTGGAGTCAGATACCGACTGTTTCTACCTCCCGTGGTGTGTTGAGATATGCGGAGACTGAACCTGTCACCAACGGCTGATTCGTTGGCTATTTTGTCAGCTCTTCCTCACTTTGTGTTCGCTGAGAGGTGGAATAGTGAGATTCCTGCTGACTGAGCTCAGCAAAAAAAGTGTAATGAAGAGAGAAAGGGAATCTCTCATAAACGCAGACTGCAGCCCTGGAGCTGTGACTTGACATTTCTTCATCTCACCTGAATCTTCTTCTTCCTTTTTCCACTCCTCACAACTCTGACGCCGAAAAGCCTCCAAAACACAAGGTACGATCCCACTCAATACCACGATATCACTAAATACTAAACACTCGAGCGGCAGATATGGAGAGATTAACCAACGGAATAACTGCAAGCCCTCCTGCAGAGGCAGCCCCTGGGTCCCCAGAGGAGCTAGACCGCCACCATGTCTTTCTCCTCCAATGCATCGAGATTACTGGACATGAGGTATGTGTACAATTGCTCTTTTGATAGACAAGCTAACCATTCTGTCCTCTCAGCTTGACTTCCGACTGATCGGCCTCGTGCTGGAGATCAGCACTGAGCAAGCGGAGGCCGAATATTCTCGGCTCCGCAGACGAATTTACGCTGCGACCACCCCCGCAACCAACGCCAATGAGCCGGACGTGGCCGAGGATGCCGATTCCAACTAGAGGCCCACTGTTACGCGTCACGTGTCTCCTGCCATTATTAGCTAGTCAGGGAGAACCCAATATGATCATCTTCTCCTGCATTCTGCTTCCACAGTAACACCCACGCCTCCGCCCATTTGGGTCGTATTAGGCAAATCGAGCTCTGCGCCCTTGTCCGGAAGGAATCTTTCAGCCATGAAGACCAACGTGGTTACTCTTCCGTGTATTTGGATGCCCCTTGTACATGTCTCAATTCGACAGGCGTCCAAAGATTCAGGTAGTGCACACAGGGAGTTAAGCTAGCGAAACATCAGAGTCTGATGAATCATGATACGCCGCTTCATAAAAGAGCGTCTTGATTGGTGTCTGTGTCCCTAGCGAATTGAAAACCGATTCCAAGAGCAGAGAAGATTGAGTATTCACTCCGTTTGCTATATTTTCCTTCTCTAGTGTGCTCTGCGCCCTGCTGTTCTGTGTAGAGGAACTTGTGCTTGGTAGAGCACCTGTATGAAAGGGCAGAGCGGCCAGGTCGGATGATGTACGGACTAACAGGACTGAGGGTACACGCTTATGGGTTCCACTTCCGAGTGTTAGTCCGCCCCACAGTACCCCATTCGGCCAACCAGCCTCTTTACAATTATTACAGGCGGGTTCTATTACAAAACCCAACTCTTACAATACATATTACAATACAAGTATGGTCCGTATAAACCAGGCACGAGGCTCCACCCGACTGGCCACTCTGCCCCTGCGACTTCACGACATCGGAGATATATTCTAGGGCTATGAGCCAGTTCAGCATGATCGTTGTACTTTCGGTGGTCCTGAAGTACCTTTGCAATCTACATAATTTGAGCAAAATTAATCAAAAATTTGTAAAGTGATTGACTTTAGAAATTTGGCGGAAATTGAGTTGGGAATATACACTTCTATTACCTAAGTACCTCAAGTTCCCCGTTTCATGCTTTCCACCCGGGTACTGGATACGGGTTATACTTCCGTATCTTCAATGCGAGATGTTGAAGATCAAATTTAGTACTTTTTCATATGGCAGTAGCTTCGAAATTGGACCCCCATACTCCGTAGAAGACAGATGGGATCACGTGACCCTGACGACGAGGACAACAAGAAAAAACAACAGGCAAGAAAGTAGACGAGCACATTCATTTGAGCCCGTGGAATCGAATGCAGAATACTTGATGGTTGGCTGAAGGGTATGTGACTCGCTGTAGGGGCACTCTTCCACACTCTCAAATCAAATTCCTAAAAACAAACAATTTGCTCAAGGGGGTACGACTCAGGACAAAGTCGTGTCTGAATAGAATAAAAGCATAGATGTATCGCAGAAGGTCAAAATTTTGACAGCGTATATTCCGCCGACGAAAGCGTTCCAGCGGCGAGTCAAGCGATAGCCCCTGGGGTGCAACTGATCGTGATCATGCATTGGCGATCCGGGCATCCAGGCACCACCCAAGACGTCCTGCATAAGCAATCCGACGCCGTCCACTACCCATCGTGTGACTACCCATCGTGTGGTCAAATGGAATCAGCTGGCAGAGGCGAGTTCCTTGTTCCGAGGTCGATACCAACTCTTACTGACGTACAGTTCATCTGGTTTACAATCAACGGGATGAAAAAGGAGCACCCACTGCGTCTATGGCCACTCTAACCGCATCTCGCTATCTGCTCACCTCGATCATCTTCATCGCGACCGGCTGAGAGACGTTCGCTTTCCATCTGGATCGCATTCAATCGGACTATATCTTCAGCCAGGCTTCCCTCTGCTGGTAACCGGCTGCCGCATCACGAAAAAACCACGCGGATGCGATAAAAAAGATTGAGTTCAGAAATACTCTCCCGATCACACCTACCGAGTGTGCCCAGAATAGACCCAAAGATTGCAGGTTGGGATTGGACCTTAACCCGAGATGAAGAAGCGGACAATAAGGATGCGAACAAGGATTGAGATACTGCTATGTATGGCACTCTGCGCCCTGGGATATCCGTGGCAATGCCATTGCAAATGTCTCCGCGAGCCACAGATATCTCAGGACTCCGGAATTTGAGCACAGGAACTGGCGGGCAGCGGATCTGCTGATCCCTGCTATGGGTGTAGCTTGATCTTCACCAATACCACGAAGAAAGAAACCCAGCGCCATCATGTTGACACGGAGCATACGTTTACTAATTTACTAGAATGACTTCGATTCAATCTCTAGCCATACCACTCGAGGCATCTCAAGAGATGCTGTTCGCATGGGTTTCACCTATTTACGACGCGGCTTCTATAATGCTATCGGTGGTGCTCCACCACGGAGCCCGGTGACAAACGCCAGGAGAAACAATGCACGACATTGATGCGTGAGTCTTGCTATGAAATTAAAATCTGCGAAGCTCCTACCTGACAGATCGGCCTCAGTCGTGGGTTGTTCCTCTTGGGTTTTGCCCCTCTGCTACCTTCGAAGAATACCGAGCCCAGGAAAACTCAACATATCGAAGAAGGCCGGAGGCAACAGGATGTCGTGGTCTACGACCGGAAGGACAACGCTGGGAACTATCAAGCGGAGGTCCTCATGCCAACAAACATTTCGATCAATCATGGCTTGATCGCCCAATCCTTGAGCTTATCACTGGAAGAGACCAGGTCCAATGCATGATACACTGGTCCCAGGGAGACAAATTCTTCAGCTGGCAGGGAGCCAGGATATTTTGAAACGCAACAAATATCTGCTGACAGACTCCACGCAGGTTCCACGACAGCAACGAGGTGGATCTCGAGTACGAGGCCCAGGGTGGGCGTTTCACTATCAACGAACGTGCACCATGCTCCTTCAACGTGCTAGTCACCTTTTCTGCTCTCCCCTCCTCTTCCAACCTCTCCTTGGACATCGGTTAAATTGACGGGTTCCCGGCATCTATACACTATACTCAGCCTGCGCGATGAAAGAAATTCCGCAAGTTGATTAAGGACAATCACTCCCCTAAAAAAGACCTCAAACCACCAAGGAGAGTTGATCAATATCACACATTTCTCTTAAAATGCATCGAAGGTTGCAGCGCAGAGGTACATCACACCTCATCTCCCTTCGTGGAATTGATCTGCCACAATTGATCTCTTAGATCAACTTCCAATCACCGGCAGACCGACGCCGCATGAGCAGTAATGCTACGCGCATGGGGTTCAGCAGTCCGCGGGCCAGAGTTCACGCGGCAATGACCCCAGGTCATGATGTGGACCTGGGTTTGAAGACCATTTGTCCCGTGATCTAACCTTTGGTAGATATACGGTTTGCGCACTGGCGCTCTCTCTCTGAGTATCGTTCTCCGCAGCAGCAGCTGACTCCGCTTATTTCATCACTGCGCCCTTGATACGCGGCTATGTATTTATTCAGCACATACGCCGGACATCGATCGCATCACCACCGATACAATTCTATATTAATCTTCCCTCTGTGGTCTTACAAAATATGAGTGTCTTCCAATCTTGATTGATACAAATGAATTGATCCCACACATTCAGTTGTCAATTCTCATAACGGTTCACTAGAAGAGTACGAATTTCAATCACAAAACATCCGGAACCGACACCCACGATGTTGATACTTTGGTCTCTCTATGAACGTACACGATGAGAGGGTTCCTCAGTATCAGATTGGCCTCAGTCGTATGTTACTCTTGTTATTTACTCTGCTGCAACCACCGAGAAAGGTCTAACGACGTCAATGTCAACTATATCGACGAATAGATTTTATGTGCCAGCAAAGAAAGACATTCCTAGGCCACTGATTGATTGAAATACTGAAACTTGACTGATTTGCACCTCCCCCATAGCATGAGACCACGTTAGAGGGAGAAGGAAGATGTAAACAAGTATAATATGATCAGATCTAAGAGTTTAAAGACCTGACATGGGGCTCCAAGGAGGATTTTCACAATAGCAAAGGCATGCTCGTCGGGGTCCAACGGACATAGTCCTTTTTACCATAATTGAGCGAGAACTATCTTTTTTCATTTTGCTCAGCTGGACTCTTCCTTCCTCCCTGCTTTCTTCTTCTTCTCTCTTTCCATTTTCCTCTCACTTTTCTCATCCATCTCTTTTCCAACCATCACAAACCTCACTCCAAATAAAATCAAACCCAACTCAACATGGCACCGCCATCCAAGAAGAATCCTACGGCCCAGGGCACTAGGAAGGGACGGGGGTCCCGCACCCAAATCGACGATAACCATGCTTTCCTGCTAGAGCTTATCGAAGATTCGGGGGCCACCGTGAGTCTTTTCTTCATATCACTTGCTGAGACTAACCATATCTAACCATCTTCGTAGCTCGACTTCGCGTCCCTGGCAGCTCGACGAGGCGTCGGCAAGGACGGTGTGCGAATGCGTTACAGCAGGCTGCGGCAAAGGATTTACGACGTGACAACCGTTCGATCCAACAGCGGCGACGAGGAAAAGCCAGAAATCGACCAGAAGAATGAGCAAATCGGCGACAAGAAAGACCAAACCGTCGATGAATCTTCCACCCAAGGCATCATGGAGGACAATGATTGCAATCACAAGGCTGATGAGGATCACGAAACGGGTCAAGATGGAAGGACTGAATAAAGGAATGCTATTGAGTCCGAGAGCGAAGTGACTATGCTTGCCATAGATACACAAAAACTTTCCTTTCTCCCTTATTGATATCTCCTCCTACCGGCGAAAGAAATGACCAAGGTGATTCATCAGCTCGTGTTCCCCTGCTCTCACCTGAATTAGATAAATCTGAATTAAGTTGAAGTTTGTTGGAGTCAAAACAAATTCCATGTAGTTTTACCTGGAGTTTCAGACTATACTTGCCCTTGTTGTGTCTGGATAGTACTTAACAATCTCTATTCCCGCTTGCTTCTTCTCTCCCTTCTTTTCTTCTTCAGCACCTCCGTCTAAGGAAAGTCTTGTGACCCAAGGTAGCGGAAAGAAGCGGGCCTCTCGTGTCCAAGTTGACACCAACCACGCGTTCCTATTGGAACTAATTGAGGACT